CTGCTTTGCAAGCCTGAAGCTGAGTTCAAATCGTGGTCCCACCAAAGAAAAAAAAAAAAAAAACAAGTAGTCACAAAAACTACCATCAGCCAGCAAATGAAGGGAGAGTTGCTTTGTCCTGATCACCACCCCAAAGTAAACTAACACATCTGCATATACATATACACATATGATTTCTTGAAGGTCCTGGAGTTTGAACTCAGGACCTTCCTTGTTTGCTAGGCAGGCACTTAAGCCATGACCCCAGCCAAATGTTCCTTTTAATAAGGTAGCCAAACTAGTTTGGGTGCATATTTCACCACCAAGTCCAAGAAAGTTTACCTACACCTGAACTAGAAAGGCAAGGCCGGGTCTCCGTCGTTTTCACTGTCCCAACGCCAAAAAACGAAACCACCCGGACCCCTGGCTCAAGGCGGGCGTTTGAGAACAGCTAAGCAGCTGTCCCCGGCAGAGGCCTGTCCCCGGCAGAGACCTGTCCCCGGCAGGGGCCTGTTCCCGGCAAAGGCCTGTCCCGGCAAGGGTCTGCCCCGGCAGAGACCTGTCCCGGCAAAGGCCTGTCCCGGCAGAGACCTGTCCCCGGGTAGGGGCCTGTCCCGGCAGAGACCTGTCCCGGCAGGGGCCTATCCCCGGGTAGGGCCTGTCCCGGCAGGGCCTGCCCCGGGGCGGGTGGGGCTGCGCGCACGACCCGCCTGCCCCCTGCACAAGAGCGGAAGGACCACGTACGTAGAAGGCGCAGTCCAGGACGGCGCCCGCGTGCTGGTACTTGAGCCGCATGGAGTTGGCCGGCACGTCGTAGAGGCGCACGGACGTGTCCCAGGACGAGAGCAGCAGGAACTGGGAGGTGTTGGGGCTGAACTTCACCGAGGAGATGCCGTCCTCGGGTGGCTGGTTCAACTTGAACTCGTTAGAACCTGTCATCTGCACAACAGACCGCAGTCAGGGTCCCCGAGGGACCCAGGGTCGGGCCATATGGGGAACAGGGAGGACCAGCCCAGGACGCGGGCGAAGGCTCGGCGCCTGCCACGGTCGGAACTCACCGCCCCCCACGTCCTCTCCCTCCCCGCCGCGCCCCAACCGGCCCGCCGACACCGCCGAGCCCCAACTCCAAAGCCCAGCGCGGCCCGCACCCGGCCCAGCCTCCTCCCCTCCGCCGGGGCCGATGGCCCCAAACCGTCTTAAAGGAAAAGCGATGGAAGCGAAACGGACTCCCCTGCCGATGGCTCCCAGGGAGTCCGCTCCTGCGCCCCCTCGTCTCACCCCGGTACCTTGGGCTCCCCTCAGAAGCAAGGTCTCAACCGCTCGCCGCCGCCGCCGCCGCCTCTTCGGTTCTCTCCACGCCTCTACGACTGGACGAGGAGGCGGAGAGGAAGCTCCGGCGCAGGCCTACCATTGGCTTATTTCAAACGCCAACGGCTCACTCTAAGCAGCCGATTGGTCCGCTCTGCGGCTGGGTCAGTCGACGCAGTTATTCTGTTCCGGCTCAAAGGGAAACCGCGGTTTTCCGATCACGTGGTCTCGTTTTACCACCACACGGAGGTCCCGGCGGTCAAGCTTGAACGAAAGAAAACTACAACTCCCAAGGAGTGTCGTGCCATGGCGCCTCTCAACCCCGCCCACGCTCATGCACGGCCCCCTGGGAAATGTAGTCTCCCTGAGGCAGCCGCCCTGCTTGGCCTCTGAATTAGTAGGCAGGAAAGATGCCCCTCAGTGTCTCAGACACAGGATCCCCTGTTGGTTAATACTAAATTATTGTTCTCCTCTCTTGGCGTGCATATGCGCGTGAACGGAACCAAAAACTCAAGTATTGAAGGAAGCATTTGTTCTTTGCAACTACAGTATTGCGTTCATTTTTTTTCCTCATTTTCCTGGAGTTTGCGCCTATGAATCGAGGTCTCACGTTTCTCATTGTCTTAGGTTCTACTGATCTCGTAGAAACTGATCCTTATTTCTATTATGCCTTATCGCTCCATCCCATCTTTCCACATTTACTGAGTGTCCCCTGTATGCCAGGCCTGGTGAGAGGCTCTGCGAAGATGCATTAATTAGTCCAGTCCTTGGAAAGAACTCTTCTTCCAGGAGGGGTACACAGACTGGGAAACAAATACTCTGCAATATTTTAAACCTCAAACAGCTTCCTTTAGAAATAGATTCATCACGGGGTCCTAAAATGACAGCAATAAGCCCCTCCCCTTCCACTCTGCCCTGCCAGTCCACAGCTTTCAGGCTCAGTTTGCTCAGTTTTCTGTTTCTAGATTCCTCCAGAAATAGGAGGATCAAGAAGGTTGCTTCAGTAATAAATTATTTTATCTCCATGAAAGAAAAGCAATAATCAGAATGCAGCGACCAACACTCTTGTACCTCAAAGTCTTATTGAAAAGTTTCAGTTTAATCCATGCTATAACCTCTATTTTCACTGCCTATTTTAGAGACAAAGTCTCTTTTGCTATCTGATTTTGTATGGAGTGGGAAGAAATTGACGGGGTTAAAGTGTTTAACTTTGAAGACACATTAATAAGAAAAAGTTGTTAGACATTCACACACTCTGAATTGGATACACTTCTTATGATTCCTGACAACGCACAAACACAGCAACAGCTCTTCTGCTTATTACGTTGATATTACTGCTAAAATATTCCTGTCCTTCTCTATCAGGCCTCCTACTCAGTTCTCTATCTCTTCTCTTTCAACAAGTTAATGGCCAAGTTCAAAAATTTAAAATGCAGTGCCTTATTTCCATTCTAACTTTAGCTAAATAATTTTATCTCCTGACTTATTTGGTTCCTTCTCCCAGTTCGTTTAATTGTATTAGTGTTTCGAGATTCTAAGCATAAATTACCCACTAATAAAATCTAAGTGTATTTCATTATCCAGTGTGTGTATGATTCAGGTCCCTCTGGGCATGTAGTTGCAGCCGGACTCGATTTGAGTTTTAAGAAACGTCAATCTTTTAAATCCAGTTTAGAGCCTGAAAGGAGACTGATGATTTTGCTGATTATTCAAATGAATTGATAGGCTTGAGATAGGAAATCTGGCAACAATGGAGTCTTGCACATTTTAGATACAAATACAAAGTCGTGTGTGCATGTATGTAATACTTAGTTGCCTGTAAGAATGAGAAATTCCTAGAAAGTGATTGAGCTGTTGGATCACTGCTAATTTCTGAGTTAGTAAAAAGTGAAATATACACTACATAGGACAAACCGGAAAAGGGTCATTCCCTAAAATCTTAAGAGCAACTACCTACAAAAACTAAGTGGAAATCGCCTACTCGAAGAGAAGCAAGAATAAAGAGTGACCCAACGCTATTAAAACCATCATCAAACCACCATCTATTGAAACATACAAAAATGATGTGGATACAAGACTCCTATACAAGAAGTTCCTTTGAAATAATTTGAGTGTTTCTGCATGGAATAAGTAAATAACAACGTTAGCGGAGAGCACTTCAGTGAAATGAAATATATGTGTACAATAAATCAAAAGAAAACGAATCCACGTCACTTTTCTCTCTATACCCACCCAAAATTTAGTATACATTCTCTTCTAGAGACAGATCCAGCCTTGGCGCTGTGGACTCCCAGCTCCTTTGCACTGGCTCTAGCCAGAGTAGGGGCCAGAGGCAAGATAACAGATAAGCTCGCCCCTCTAAGCGCTGAACTATCGGGCTCCTCCAAGTTCATTCTACCATTTCAGACATTTTGCAAGAACAGGTGGCTGCAATCTAACCAGGGAGAGGCTGCGATTTCCATGACTCGCGCAGCGCCATCCCAGCCTTCGCGCAGAGCCATCCCAGCCTCCGCGCGGCTGCAGGGGTCTGGGAACCGAAGTCCGTGGACGCCTCCGCCGAGCTTCAGGGTTCAATTCAGAAAGAGCAGTTGCGTGTTGGCCAGGGATCCAACCATTTAGGCATGCACAATGTAAACCGTTAACCATAAAAGAGTGTGGGGAAGTGCCTTTGCCTCCAGCGCTTTCTTTCAAGCATCGGATCCCTCCTGGGCCGAAGTTTGGCCTTTAGGTATTCACTCACCGCTAGGCGCGGGACACGCAACAATGTCACCGGCCCAAGGAAATGTGCATGACTCTGCAAGCGGGCCACGCCGGACTAAGGGCGACAAGCGGACGCTTTACCAGATACAAGCAGAGCTGCGGCTTGCCCTATGTCGGAGAGGAGAAGCAAGGCACAGCTTGGGCCATGTCTTGGTGTGTTCGGATATGGACAAGCCCAATATTGCTCGTTCTGGCGGGACTCATTCTCAGAAGGCAGCCGCATCAGCAGCAAGGCCTGTCTTCCCGCCTTTGTCTTTTCCCCCTGCGTGGTCTGGATCTAGATTCCACCCCGGAGTGCGCCCCAGCCCGCATCAGGATTAGGGGCACTAAAGGAGGGAGGAGTAAGCAGCTCCAGCCACGTGCGAGACAGACTGCGCCAATGTCTAGACCTTTAACCTCTGACCCCAGCCACACCCTTCATGTGTTGCGAGCCGGACCTTTCCAGACACCGATGCCCGCCAGGTCTGCCCCCAAAGAGCGGGAAAACCTTTCGCGCGTGGCGGAGCAGGGCAATCAATGCCTCCAAAGTTAGCAACGATGTTTAAAATGTTTTATTTTTTTTCTATTTAAAAATATTTACAGATATGAACTCTCCCCATTTCGCCCCCCCCCATCTTCGCGATGAAGGAAACGAAAAAAAATGATTAGCTCAATGTCCAAAGCCCCTGAGGGCTTGACTTGGCGGAGCGTGTGTCCATGTACAAATATACAGGTGTATATATGAGAGGAGTTTATCTGGTTTGTTGGTGTTTTTCTGATTTTTTTTTTCTTACCAGCCAAAGCCAGTCTGGATCAAACTCCCTTTCCCACCACCACCCGAGAATATCCCCCTCCAAAATAGTTTTCAAAGCGTATTGATTTGGTTTGGGTAGAAAGCAAGCGATCTGGCATGAGGAATGCGGATAAATACCCGAAACAAAACAAAAAGTAGGGCAGAGGCCATAAATAAGAGATAATGAATACACATGGTGTATTTCTTAATATTTCTGGAAACACGCCGCTTTGCTCCAGAGCCCTGGGAAGGAAGGGTGCAGCCCGCGCCGGGCTCTGCGGGCTGCTGGAGGCGGCCCGGGGTGCACGGGGGGCGGGCGGGGGGTGTACGGCCGGCGGGCGGGTCAGTAGTCGAGCTTGTTGTAGAGGTTGTAGAGCGGTAAGGCCGAGAGGTTGCTGCTGGGATAGTAGAGTGGTGCGGGGAAGGCGAGAGATCGCGGCACCGGCACGCGCAGCAGCGAGCTGTCCCGGAACACAAGCGGCATGCCCACCAGAGTCTGCGCCGACGCGTGCGCCATGTTGGCCGCCTCCAGCTCGGCCGAGAGCTGCCGCTTCCACTTGTTGCGGCGGTTTTGAAACCAAGTCTTGACCTGGGTCTCGGTGAGCTGCAGGCTGGAGGCAAGGCAGGCGCGCTCCGAGCTGCTCAGGTAGCGCTTCATGTCGAAGGTGGACTCGAGCTGGTACACCTGGCTGCGCGAGAAAACCGTGCGCGTCTTCTTCTTGGCGGCTCCCGCCTGCCGCTCGGCGCCGCCGTCCCGCGGCCGCTCCGGCCCAGGCGAGGGCGAGCCTGAGGGCAAGAGCCTCTCTTTCTCTTCCTTAAAGTCCGGGTGCGAAGGAGAGAGGAAAGGCGTGCGCTCGGATCCCGTTGGTCCCGTGCCTCCGCTGCCCTTGGGGGTACCTGAGGAGCAGAACAGATAGCAAGGCCATGGACTAGAAGCGCCTCAGAGACCCTCAGCTCTTCCCGGGACCAGAAGGTGGGCAGACGCTTGCAGCCTTGCCCCATTTCTACCAAACCTCTACCTCGTCTGCCTCTCGCTAACACTCAAAGCCCAGCCACCCCGACCCTTTAAGGAGACACGAGAGGGACCCAGCTATTCCGAGCTTGGGGTCCCTGTGCTCCCATCTTTGTGAAAGGATAGGTGGCAGCAGGTGGAGGAGGTCTGGAGAAGAAACATTAGCGTCATTTTAAAAGGTGATTTTGCCTCGTAATAACTGAGCTGGAAGAGTTCCTCCAGCTTCATGGAGTGGCATGGTTTCACAGGCCGTTTGTTTGAAAATCATGCTAAGGACTAACGCGGGGCTCTCCTCCGTCAGATGTAGTAAATAGGAACCATCTCTGAAAGGCATCATTGTCAATCATCTTAGAGTGCTAATCATTCCGAGGAAATCAGACAGGAGGGGAAAAACCTAAAGAGATTTCAGTACAGACAGAACTCCCAGACCCAACTTGCAGACCTCGGGTCCCCAAAGAAAGTACCTGTGTGCAAAAGGACTTAAGGCAGAGCGATGTGAACCGCCCGTTGAGTGCCCAGATCGCTGTGCTCCACTCTCCCTCCAACCCAATCTTCCCCCAAACGCCCAAGCGGTACGGGATCTATGTTCCCCTCCTCCTCCTCCTCCACCTCCTCCTCCTCCTCCTCCTCCTCCTCCTGAGGGACCAGCGGAGGAAGCACCACGGCGTGCGCGTCCCCTTCTCTCGGCCCCGGACCCTCAGCAACAGCAGCAATGACGGGAGAGGGCCGGGCTCGGGAGTCTTTGAGGGGCACGCGGCCTCGTTCCCCTCGCGCTCACTCCCTGCCAGACTGGCGACATGAGATCCTTACCCAGGCAAGGAAAAGGGATGGGGGTGTGGTGCTTGGGGCCTGGCTCCTTGGGGCCGTGCGAGTCTGGGCAGAAGCAAGCCGGCGCCTTCCAGCCGTCGTCCGGCTCCTCCTCCTCCGAGGACACCGACAGGCTGCGCTTCCTGGCCGGCCAGCCGGTGGGCTCCCGCGGCGCCTCCGAGGGGCCCCCGCCCAGGATGGACTGGATGGTGAAGCTGGAGACGCCACCGGCCGTCGGACACCCCTTGCCCACGTCTTCCTTGCTTCCCATCCTGGGTTCATAAGAAATTGGAGGAAACCAAGAACTCCCTTTAGAGACGAGCTGGGTAGAAGGTGGTGCAGGCTGGCAGGCGGGCAGGGGGGAGGGGCGGGGAGAGAAGCCAGGGGGAGGGGGCGACGAGGCTGGCGAGGCGTCCCTTCCGCGCTGGGGACACACGGGCACGGGACGGCTGCGCGGGGGTTCCTGCCCGCACCGCTCGGGATGAACCCGCCCAGCCCGGGTGCGAATGCCGGTGCCTTGCCTGCCAGCTCATGGGTCTCCGGCGACGCGAAGGCGGCGCGGCCTCATTTGCATAGAGGTTACCCAAACCCGGCCAATCGCAGCGCCGCGGAGCGGCCCCGGAAATTTTCAAAAAGCCCAGGCCAGGCACGCAGCGCCCGTGCGCCTCTCGCACGCGGAGATCCGGCGGGCATCGGCTCTGCGCATGAAGTGGCGTCGGGGACTGAGAGTAGCATGGATTCCAGCGTGGATTCTTGGTCTCTGCCGCGACTCAGACCCAGGCCTCTCAAGGGACAGTGGTAGCCCGATGTCTCCTCAGGCAACAGACCTCGCACCTCCGAGGGGCTGCGACAGGCTGCTGCCACCCTCCCGAACTCTCTACCCCTTCCAAACCCTGCGGGACAGGCAGAACTGTCATTTACCAGGCCGCGGCGGCACGCGTGTGACTGGAATGGGTTTAAGAGCATGGGTCTCGGACCGATGCTTTTCCCTTGATCGTGGCTTGGAGCCCCAGGAACAGACACCTTTTGCCCTCAGTGCTTACACAACACCACCCCTGTCAGGCCATGGGGACACGGGATTTGGGGATAGGGAAACCCTAGATCTCGAGTCAAGAAGTTCCTGTTCGAGCACCACCCTTTACACTGTGCGTTAACTTGAACAAGTCTGGTTCTAATCAAAGCCTCTCTGTCCTCAGGTGAAATAAACTTATTAGCATCCCTTCCTCCCGTTTTAAAGATCGCGTCAGCTCGGGATGGAAAAGCTACAAGAGACCTACAAGCACTAGGAGCCATGATTGTTACTTCTTAAACCTTTACCCACTAGCCCGCAGCCCGCTTTTTTGGTAAATATTGAATGTGTCAGAATTGCTACAAAATAGAAAGTCTTTCCTCTTGGAAAGAAGAGGCGGTTATAGGGACACAGAGTGGGTCGTCCATTCAAATATTGGCTAGGTGACCTTGAGCAATACTTAAACTTTCTGAGTCTCCGTTTCTTCATTCCTAAAATCGAAAGAAGTAATGCCTACCTTGCAGAGGCTGTCGTGAGGTCAAGGTGCCCAGCACCCACCTGGGCACGCGGTAGAGTTCAATAAACCATGGTTTCCTCTCCTTTTCATGGCTCCCTTCTGAATCCTGGCTCCCACCCCTTTAATTCCTACATCAGCTGTTACTTGACCTAGAGTCATCCAGGCGCAGGCGAAAGGGTCTGGGACCACTAGTGTCTACTTAAGCATTATAGAAACTCGAGCGAGGCAAGGTCCAAAGCACCCAGACAACCCCACACCTCGGGCTGCGGCCTCAGACCTCTCAGCCAAAAGACCTGGAGAGCTCTGTCCCTAGGGCATCCCAAAAGAGCCAAGCGCGAGGAGAGACTGTGGCATCAGTCCCTACAAATGTCCAGACTGCATCATGACGGTGCAGTTCCTTCCTAGCCCGCACCGCTCGCGGGTTATTGAGTAAAGCGCTTATAATATCATTAGCCACGGTGAGTTACCGACTGCAGCCCAGCCGGTGGCAGAACTCTCCCTACTTAACTCCTCGAAGGACTCGTTAATGGGCTAATTGATTAGGGGTCGGCTGCGCAGGCGGGACAGGGGCGGGAGAGCGGGTTGGGGACCAGGGGCTGTGTGCCACGGCCCGGGAGGCCGGCGAGGGGCAGGTGCCGGCCTCCGTCACCATATTAACCTCTTCAGGGCTCGGTGGCGGGGTCGAGACACATTACAAATGGTCAGCTTTAATCATGGTGTCAGCTCATTAACCCGGAAGGACCTGGAGCTGAAATACAATTTGTGCGTCCTCCTCTGCGCGGTCTATACGCAGACTCCCGGGCCTGGTTACAGCGGGTTCGGCGTCCCCCGCGCGGTCGCGGGGTAGAGGGAAGATTCCAGGAAAGAAATGTCCAACTCCCTCAGTAACCCTTGGTCTCTCTCGTAGGTGCCCTCAGTTGGGCGCTGTATCAGGGGCTAGACACAAAGCAGTCCCAGTGAGAGAGCTGAGCCTAGCTACCCCGCTGGGGTAGAAAACGCTGGCCATGTGGAGCGAGAGATGGTTTAAAGTTTCCGACCTAGTAAATACTCTGGTACCAAGAACATGCAGGGAGCAGCTCACCATTCTTCATTTCAATCTGCCTCTCTTCACCCCTGTTGTACAGATCGGCAAATTGAGGCTGGGGGAAAAACTGATGGTAAAGGAATAGCTGGGGGGAAGACTCAAGACCTAGGAATCCCGAGAGGCAGGGGCGAGTGTGCGGTCAGGAGCCCAGGGACTTGATCCCTGCTAGGGCAGGGAACATGAGAGGCTGAGGCAGGAACTTTGAGATGAGCCTCCCTCTTAGAAGCAGCTCTCAGGCCCTAGAGCAGCGAGAGACTGGGGGGGCACCCCATCCTGGGAGCCCGACTTGGGCTTGAACTCTAAACCAGAAAACGATGAAGTCGTTCAACCCACTTCTCTTGGAGCTGGGAAGTAAAGGAACTGTCTGGTTTGGTATTCCACCTGCCCATCCCCCTACTCGCACTGAGGGCCGGGTCCACGCAGAGGTGCTTCTTCCACCCCCATACCCGCATGCCACATGCATGAACTTGTATAAACGCTTACGCATTCACACACATTCATTCAGCAAAGGTACACACACACACACACACACACACACACACACACACACTGAGCCAGGGAAGTGGTGGTGGTGGTGGACACAAAGCGGGGTCTGGAAGACCATAAGATTCCGGGCTCTGAGTCCCCAAGGGCTGCAGCTCTCCTGGGCTCCCTTCAACTGATTGATCACCTGCAGTCACACTGAAGGAGCAAGGAAGGCCAAAGACACAATATTCCCTACCACCTCTTTTGGGATCTGGGGATCTCCAAGACTTCACCTAGAGCGCAGAAGACAGACGCCCTCTCCTGGGCCCAGCGCAGCCGCAAAACCCACTCCCAGGTATCCTCAGCTGTAGGAGCCATCACGTACAGACACCCAGCTCTCTACCCTCAAGTGGGCAATCCTTCAGCCCAGTACCACCCTACACCCCGCCCCACCCTTCCAGTGTCAGCATAGCTCCGCCCCTCTCCTACTTCACTGTTCAGTAACTCACACCCTGAAGGGCTGCCTTTCCGCATCTTTGGGATTGCCCCCTCACCTTCCGAGGAATTAGGCATAACCGAGTTCCAAGGAATGAATGATAAACTTTCCGAGACTGAAAGAACGCTTAAAGTTTAGGTCCTGAGATTATGCCGCTGCTCAATATTAAAGCGGCCCAGAGCAAACTTGCGGAGGAGCCTAATAAAAATTGATCCTCTCTGCTCTGCGGCAGTCGGAAAATAGGCTGGCTGAGCCGGGTAATAGTGGAAGAAGGCTCCCTCCGAAATGACAGATGAAGTCATAAACAAGTTTGATCTTGGAATCAAGCTTCGATAAATATTAAACACAGTCTACCCCCCCGTCCCCTTTACGCGAGTGGATTATGATATATGGCGCGTCCAAACTTTAAAATAAGGAAATACCAGAGAAAATGATCTCAATAAATTTTCTAAGTATAAACGTTGATTATGTTTCGATTTTCATTCAAGGGCCTCTGCTGTTCGTTCTTTGGTGCAAATGACATCTCGCAATAGGCTTTTGGGGAAAAGGGCTCCCTATTTGAAAAAGAGAGCCCCAGAGGTGTACAATTTATGTAATCTTCGGCTGGAAAATGAATTGTGTAATTTATTGGAAAACAGAAAGTCTTGAAGATTGGATCAGCATAGCCGAGTCCCGACACCCCCCTCCCACATCCATCAAGTTCCAATTAACAGCCTAACCAGAGAGCTTTAATGGGTTTCCAATCTAGTGGTCTGATAGACTCATCAATTCCTCTGGGAGAAATTAAGAAAATCGACCGCCCCTTGGCGACGCAGTGTCATTCCTTTCTGCAACTATATGTCAAATTAAAAACACAATTAAAATTTAAACTGTTTCAATCAAAGGGTGCCCTGCAACCTATGTTTCACTTAATAGAACTTTGATGAAAATCTGATGCGTGCACTCCATCACCAAGGGGGGCGAGGGCGGCCAGGAACTCAGGAGAGATGAGGATTCTTTATATTTCTTTAAGACATTAGTGCTGGGGTGAGGCACGGCCAGGTGACTCCACCTCGCTGCTACTGCCTCAGTGATGGGCGCAATGTGCTCTCTTTTGGATTCTCTCTGCGCGCTGGCACCTACGCCCAGCCCTCAGCTCCTTTTTTTCCTCCCACACTCCGAAGGGATTCTCCGCGACCCGACCAGGGCAGGTTTCACCTCGGAGTAGCAGCGAAGGAAAGAATCTGGGCGAGTATAAACATTGTACCTCTCGGAAACTGTCTGAGGAGGCACGCTGCAACCACCAACCCTCCCTTGCCTTGGGTCTCCAAAACTGCCCTGATGCTCTAATGATACTATATGGCGTCCGGGAGGAGTCCCTCGGCCCCAGTGAGGACTAGGGTTGCGTTGCAGTCCAGGACCTCGATTCTTAGCCTCAGCCGCCACTCTCTACCCTGTCCTCCTTCAGGTACTTCCGCAAAGAAACTCTCCAGGGGCACATGCAGCCCAAATCTCAACCCAAGATCTCTGTCAGAGGCCCCAGGCAGAGCTCCAAGGTACACTGAACCTAGTTATCGTGAAGGTTCTTTCGCCTCTTCCGCTGCCCCCTCCCTGTTTGTAGGTCAAAAGGTCAACGCCATCTGCTCTGCACACGAAACGCGCTCAAGTGCGCACAGAGGCATGCACATTTCCAGATGGGTACATCCAGGCTCAATGGATCACTTGCACTCTAAAGTCAGGCAGGGCCAGAAGACCCGGCCAGGTGACAGGCAGAGAATGGGCGGGAAGCTGAGAGGAGGAGCCTTGAGGATGGTTCCTGCTGGGCCACGTGCAAGTGCCTGGGTGTGCGTTGTCCCCTGGGTCTGCCTGGCTGCGCAGGAGATTTCTGTGGAACTAGTGGTTCTCGAGCCCTGCACTCATTTCGGGGCCCAGAAGAGGATTCTTTTCCTAATAGCTTTGAGAAGTTTAAGTTTACACCACTAAGAGAAAGAGGGACCCTGGCTAGGTCACTGGACTGAGACACGGAGGAACAGAAGAGGAGGAACAAAATGGAGTCTTGGAGGCTACCAGAGCCCATCCAGAAAAGGCTCGGGCCCCATCGGGGCTCTGGAGTTCATTGTCCCATGCGCATAGAGAGATGGAAGCAGGGGCGAGTGGTCATGGACCAGGAGGACCAACACGATAGACCTCAACAAAGCACTCACATGGGTCCGACTCCCGTGCCCATCTCGCTTGCCTAGCGTGCAATCGCAGAAAAGAAAGCAAATCCCACTGACCTTTTTGCCTCCTCCTCCTTCTCCCAGCTTCACTTCCAGACTCTTAGCCAGGAGAGGCGTGCACTTTGGGGTCTCACCGCGTGGCCTCTGACTCTGGTCCACCAGAAGCCTATGGAGGGGTGTTCCCCTCAAGAATGAGCGCCAGTAGCAGGGGGGTCAGTTTATATCTGTCTTGCTGTTGTTTGATGTACACACACCTGCTCTATTTACTACCAAATAAAAGAAATACATCTGTGTTGCCAACAGAAACAGTTCCCGCCCTGGCCCCACGGTCTCCCGGGGCCTGGAGGCGCTCAAAGCTGCTCAGAGCGGCAGAGCCCGGCACTGTGGGGACCTTGGTTTCGTGTGAGGTCTTGGAGCATAGGAGTATGAGGGTCCGTGGTGCAGTGGCCAGCTCCGCTAGTTCGACCAGATGGCTTGGGAGGAAACAAACCTGCCAGGGGATTTTCAGGTTTGCACTGCAAAATTGGGAGCGGCCACCAAGCTCCCTGCCCATCCTTTCCCAGGGTTCTCCCCAGCTTGCCTTAGCCTGGGGCCACTGGAGAAAACCAGTAGACCAGGGTCACCTCGAACAAAGTGTGTATGCCTTAGCCATCTCAGCAATACTAAACATATTTGGGTGGTCTGACTACTAGACACCAGAAGCTGAGACCCGGTTGAGAAGCAGAAATGTGTGTGTCAAGTGCAAGTGTGTCCTGTGTTGTATGTGTCTATTTAGGCACTGTAGAAAGGATTTAGCAGCAAAAGTGAAGTCATTTGCATTGACCTGGAAGATTGAACGGAGTACAGATAGGGAAGGATCTGAAGTTGGGGTAGGCAGGCAGAAACCAGGGATATACAATGTGGGGAAGGGCTGAAAGGATAAAGTCAGGGTGTCCATTCAGTGTCCTAGAACAGGGCACAGCAACTTTCCTGGCTTCCTCTGTGTAAGCTCCAGGAGGAATTTCAGAGGTACTATCACTCAACTAATCCCCATCCCAAGCCTTCCTTTGGCCAGTGGTTCCAGCAGCTCTCCAGAATCTTTGCAGAAGCACTGGGGGGGGGGGGAGATGTGTCTAGTGGGGAAGTACGGTGACAACCAGCTTTCCAGATGAGACTGTCCCATAAAGTGGTTTCTTGGCATCTCTTGACAGGAAGCCCCCAGAAAGATCTGAAGTGTAGCCTAGGATGCATCCTACTTAGAGCAGCTTCAAATCCCACACCCAGACTCAACTCCTCCTGCACTGGGAGAGATATTAGGGCCTCAACCTGCCAGAGGGAAGTGTATATTTCCTGTCAGTGCCAGCTTCAAGGTTCCTGAAGCGCCCCATGCTTCCAGTGTCCAGGCCAGTCAGTACTAACTCCTCCACCAGGGTTGTCTCATATCTGGGGAGGGAAGCACTGGCCCAGAGCAGCTGAGCTCTCAAACTGGAGGAACAGGGAGGCCGAAAGGAGCAGGACAAAGGATAAATTGTGCTTGTGAAGAACCAGTTATTTCTTGACTTTGTAAAGACTGGGTCAGTCAAGAACCGTTTTCTAGAATCCAAACAAATAAAGAAGTATTTTCTTGGCGTTTGATAACATCGTGTTCTGGCTGTAAAATCTGAGGACGTGTTTGCTATTGCAACATTATTTTTAATGAGCTGTTACTGGCCTGTGGAGCAGTTAGTATTGCCAACAGTAAAGGCATCACTGTGTTTGCAGGTAACACAAGGAACAACATATTTTGACCCCGAATTTCTGTTTATTTTTCATTTATGACACATGCCCTCGTTTTTATTCCAAACCAGAGGGAAATAAAGGGAGATCTATCTTTACTGGGGTCTGGGCTAAAATTTTGCCATAAATACGCATGCCGGTTTATTGGGGGGCAGTTTTCCATCAACAGGAAACGATACTGGACATTTCAGCCACAGTAGAATCAATTGTGTCAATTGAATTTGAAACGCAGAAGGAAAAGGAGTGAAGAAAACGTGCGGGCAAGCGCTCCCCAGCGGTCGTGTCCTGTGGCGCTCCAGGAATCTTCTCAGCTTTCGGGTTCCTCATCCCCCTCACTCCCACTTGGGCTCCCTACCTTCAAACGAAGTTTGCACGCACACTCACAGCTTCAAGGCAGTAGGTCGCGCTAGTTGGCAAAGGTTGCCCAAGCGCCTGTTTCCCTGGGCAGACCAGCTTTTCTAGGCAGTGGAGGGATACACTGCATCCTACCTTGCCCACTAAGAGCACTGTGGCCCGCAGGGACCATTGCGCGTCTGGGTGTTCCCCAGAATAGGAGGACTGGAAAGGCTGCCCTCCAGGCATTGGGCGCCGGTGGACAGTGAAAGCCCAGCCCAAGGAAGAACAGTCCGCTCCATTACCACTGACCCATCCAGGTGGTCTCTGACCCTGAAACTTGGCACATAGCCCACACCTGAACCACCCTAAGTTCTCCCATCGCAGCTGAAGCCTCCCTATCCTAGACACGGGAACCGGGAACCGACATCCCAAGGGCTGGTTGGTCTCCCCGGGGCTGCCCTCTGGAGGCCAGGCGTCTCCCAGCTGCACTTAGCGAGTCACCTCCAGCCCGCAGCTAACTCCAGGCTCATTTCCTTCTTCCTTCCATCTCTTAGCTAGGCATTTTAGGGATGCCCTGCCCAGAAGCTCTCCGGTCTTTAAGGAACCGTGGCTTGGGAAAGGAACGCAGACTGCAGCTTTGCGCTGGGAAATACTAGCGGTCTTCAAGCTCGCAGCTGTCGTTTTGCTCAATTTCAAAAACTAGATAAACCCAGATCTTTACATTCTTTCCTGCTTCTAGGACGTTTCAAGCCGCAGAAGATACTGGAGAAAGGGCGCCCCTGGTCACTAACAAAGCCGCCTCTGTCTCCGCCGCCTGCTGGATTATAGGTGTGTGTGTCCAGGTCGGACTTATCGAAAAGGCAGCCAGGGAGCGAGACAAGAAAAGAGTTTTCCAGACACCTGCTCTGGGGGAAAAAAATCATCCAAAGTTACACACTCTGGCAACATGAAAGGCTTTGTTTTTCTTTTCTTTTTAATTAATTCAATTTCACGACATTAAGTGTAACAATATTTTGTAGATTTTTTTTCTTTTTCTTATAAAGGGACCGAACCTGGGTAGAGGGTGAGGGTGATCAGGACAAACTACCGCAGAACAACAGGTGTAGCCAACAGAAAGAAAATAGGTTGAATGGCAGAGCAAAGAGCCCTGCGGAATTGAGGGTGAATTTTACAAGAAATCTGTACATTTATCAAATAAGTTAAGATTTTCCTAAATTGATTGTCCTTCACTTAAAGCGCTCCAGTATGCCTAACTTATTCCTTTGAGATCACTACCTAGCCTTGTTTTCTTCCCTCTCCCTTTCCCCTGCTTAATTTTCTCTTTCTACACTAATGACTGCCATTGCATCGTAGAAAGGTCTGCATCCCTCGTGGAGAAGGGAGCAGGGCTCTCAGGAAATTTTGTACAGTATTGCACAGGTCATAGTACAATAGTTGCTGCAGAACAAATAGGTAGGGGAGAGGAAAAAGATAGTTTCTTTTAAAAAATATTGAAACCATTCTCTCAAAACAGGGAACTGAGTAATAACAGTAATAATAATTTACTGATAAGTGAAATTCCCCCAATGAAGGCTAGTAATAAATAAGAGTACTCCAACCGGGCCAGATGCGGAGCTGTTTCAATTTTCAGAGTTCTGATTTTTGGCTGTTTTGTCTTCTCCCTTTAAACACTTGATTAGAGAATTTCTCAGTCACAAAGCGAGACAGATGAAGAGGTTAATTGCCACACACCTCTCCCAGAGAGAAAAATCAGCCCAGGGTCGGGAGTTCTTATAAGAGGCTGCTCAGATTCTGAAAACTGGGGAGGATAACTGGGGGCGGCGGGGGGCGGGGGAAGAACCACACCCAGAAATCCAGAAATAAAAAAAACCTACCATTTGAATTCATTCTCTCTCTCCGGATTCTGAAAATAGTTCCATAGAAAATGAATAACTAGAGGGATTCCGGTTTCTGCGCTTATATTCCTTCTATAAAAATAAAAACCAAAAGCCATGGCGCAATAAAAATTTAGGGGAAGAACTGCACATTTTACAAAAGCTTTCACCCGCCATATTTGACCTGGGAATTTTCTTTTTCCTGTTTTCTTAGTAGTAACCAAAATCAAAAGCAAGAGGAGAAGCGCCTCAAATCCATTAGGGATGAATTGCACGAAAATGCATTGCAAATACTTACAAAACGCTACCGATTGGGGGAAAGGAGACCAGGCAGTGCGCCGAGCCCGGGTTCCCAAGGCCGCTGCGCCTCACGGCGCCCTCGGTCCGGCCCAGTCTTCTCCCGGGTGGAAAGATGGCCTGGCGCCCCCTCCCTCTCCCCTCTCGGGCCTCAGACCGGCCGCAGCAGCGGCACGGACGAGACTACCGGGTGCGAGTAGTAGACTGGATGCGGAAAGGTGAGCAGCGGCTGGCTGACCGGCACCGGTGCCCCTGCGGCGGCCGCCGCCGCCGCACCCTCGGCCGCCGAGTTCTCGTGATAGAGGATGGGCACACGCACGATGCGCTGCGCTGCAGCGTGGCTCAGGTTGGCCGCCTCCAGCTCTGCGGCCAGCTGTCGCTTCCACTTGTTGCGGCGATTCTGGAACCAGATCTTGACCTGCGTCTCAGTGAGGTGCAGCGATGCGGCCAAGCCGGCACGCTCCGAGCTGCTCAGGTAGCGCTTCATGTCGAACGTGGACTCGAGCTGGAAAACCTGGCTGCGCGAGAAGACGGTTCTCGTCTTCTTCTTGCGACACGCGGGTTTCTTCTCGGGACTCTCGGCACCCTTCTTCCAGTCCTCAGCGCCCGGCGTCGTCGCCGCCGCCGCTCCTACTGTCGTCCCGGCCGCTCCCGGCGCCGCCTCGCCGTCCTTCTTTCCTTCCTCTGAGTCGCTCTCCTCCAGAATGATCTCGTCTGGACTCTTGGAGTCCAGCTCCTTGTGATCGGGGTCAGCCTTGAGCAGCGGCTCCGGGGAGTCGCGATCCGTGCCCGAGGCGGGGGAGGAGTCTCGCAGAAGGGCCTTCTCTGAGGCTGCGGAGACAGACAGACGGACGCACACACACGCACAGCACACGGACACAGCCTTGAGCTAGGCCCGGTGTCTGGGGGCAGCAGGCATTACCTGCGCTGACCTCCAGGCCCCGGGCCTTGAGGCCTCAACATTCCCGCGGACCTCCTCCTTCCCAGCTGGGATGGAGTAGGGGCGCCTCATCCTGGGATCCCCCTCCTCCAGGACAGGCGAGTAGATGATGGCAGCGTGGCCGGTTCCTTCCATTCCCTCGGCTCCCATGCCAGGGGCACGAGGAAAGATTAATCATCCTTTTGGGTCCACCTGGGTCAATCCCTCCATCCAGGCCGTGTCCCTAGCCCTGGCCGTCCGAAGCCACCCCATTCACGCCAGAGGCCACTTTTCCCGGGAAGTGCTGCGCCTCCGGCTCCAACTCCACCAATTTTCTCACCAAGTGGGATTGGATTCCCGGGCCGCACAATCTAGAGCACGGAGAGGAGATGCAGGACAGGGGCCGGAGAGATTGGCCAAACATCGAGTTTGAGGGTGTATGTGTGGGGATCTAAGAACTGCGATGGAAGCAGCACGGGGCGGGGATGGGACGGGCCCGCGGGGGGTAGGAGAACGAAAGTTCAAAGAGAGGTCGGTACCTTCAGGTCGTGGGAGGTGGCCGCCGGCGGGGGTCAGGGTGTAGGGGTACCACCAGGCCGGGGAGCGCTCCAGGTAGTGCGCAGGCAGGGCAAACCTCTGCGCTGGGATCTCAAAGCGGGGAAAAGCCAGGTCGCCCACCTGCGAGAGCGCGAAGCCCGCGGCGCCCTCCAGGGCCCCCTTAGCTGCGGCAGCTGCGGCTGCAGCGGCGGCTGCGGCCGAGGCCGGCGCGAAGAGCGTCCGTGGGGGTGGCTGCGGCTTAGGGGGCGGCCGGTGGTGGTCTCCGTTGAGCAGGTTCTTGATGGAGAACGGGGATTCCTTAGGCGCCGGAGGCTGGGGCGGCGGCTGCGGAGGTGGCACGCTGGCTGTGCCGGAGGCGTCGGGCCCGGGCTCCGGCATGGTCCCCTTTCCTCCAGGTCCCAAGGAGGGAGGGAGCGGGACAAGCGGGCGGCGGGGCAAGCAGGCGAGCGGCCGGAAATCAGACCATAAACGGAACTCAACTACGGGGCGCAAACTCCGGGGCCGCCCCGGGCGCAAAAAGAGCCGCGGGAGGGCGGGGTGAGGACCGGGCCGGGGCGGGCTCGCATGGGGGAGGGGGTCCTAAGGGGAGGGGAGCGGCCCTGTCGCGGCACCGAGGGAGCGAGGGGGCTCGGCGATGGCTGCAGCTCCCGGGGAGGAGGCAGCAAGAGCAGTCCCCGACTTGGGGCTGCGTCAATCCGGCGCCGGATGCTAATGATGAAATCAAAATGTCATCCAAGTTAAATGCGGGGAGTATACGGCGATTGGGCGCGTACAATGGCAAATGGGATTAGGCAGACGAAGGCGCAGCCGAGCCTCGGCCCCGCAGCCGCCTCCACCACCGCCCCCTCCTTGCCTTCCCTCGGATTTTGGCGCTTTGGCTTCGGGCTATAAGAGCCCGCCTGTTATTGGCTTTATATAGTCCAATTAGGCAGCAAATGAGGACAAACCTATTAGCACAAAAGGATATTGGCTCCCGCTAAAGAGGCACTCGGAGCGCTCCTAGGAGCGCAGAAAGAGAGCGAGGGACCCGGGGCGGGCGGCGCCCCCGGCCGGCCGGAGCGCACTGACAGCGGTGAGCCCGGAGTCCGCGCCTCCCTTTCCCCGCCCCCCCCCTCCCCCAGAGGCTTCGGACCCGATTCCCGCAGCCAGGCCTGCGGGAGGGGGAGGGGCGGCCAGGCCCGCCCGGGTCACCTCGGGGTTATCCGAGCCTGCAGCTGCCGCTCCCCCGCCCCCAGGGGCTTGACAGGGGCCCGCTGCCCCCACGCGGCTGGAAAGCTACGGGGCGCTGGCCCAGTAGGCAGGATGCCACCTCGGCTCGCGACAAACTCAGCACTTTCCTACCCTTTGGGGTCCTGTGGCCTCAGCATTTTCCCCAAAGCCTGCTAAGAAGGGCGCAGTAACGAAGAGGGGGATTTGTGTTCCCCATCCACCGCCTAGCTTGTAGGAAGGGAATCCGTAGTGAGTCCTTGCGGTGCGTCTGCGGGCTCACGAATCCGCGTAGATGTGGCCTTTGGCCCTGTAAAACCGAAGAGTGAGTAGTCCCTGGGGAGCAGGAGTGGGTGTGCGTCTCTGCGCTCCCCAGTGAGCGCGCGGAAGGAGCCGACGCCCACACATCACTCGGGCTGGGGTGGCCACGTTTCCGCAGCCTTGGCTGTGCTCGGAAGGGCACTCCTCCCCTCTAGATGCCGGAGCCCAATGCTGGAGGACCGAGTCCGATCTTGAGGTCCTGAAAGAGACTCTTTTCCAGGAAGTCTCTCAGGTAGGCGTTTGGCTCTGCCCGACGCTTTAATAGGCGCCAGGTGAACGAAAGGCTCAACGGAGTACCTTCCGAGGTAGCGACATCTGCAGCTCGTCCCAAGGGCCTTAAGTCCCCCGAGAACCATGTCTGGCCTCAGAAGAACTATGGGTGGAAGGTCACTGGACTTTAAAAACAGCCCCCTGACTGGCACGAGAAGCCCGAGAGGCAGGCACTTTTAACTCTAGATTTACGCCTCAAATAAATCAGAAGTGTTTGTGGGGTCCCTTCCTGAAACACAGCTGCGTAGTGAGAAAGATGGCAAACAGTCCTCAGCCCCCCTCCGCCCCTGGCAAAACTCCCTGTACAGCTGTCTTTTTGTGTTCCCTTACTTTCTACCCCCCACCCCTTGCCGCTTTCCTTTTTGTTGGGTTGAATCTTGCCTAATTCAAAGTCTCTCTGCTTTTGGGTCCTTAAGTGAAAAGCAGATATGTTTTATTTTTTCGGTCCTAGGACGCCAGACCCTCTCCAACCACATCTCGATGGGCGAATTTAATGTTTTAGCATTCACTTAGAATAGCTTTGTAAATGGCAAACAATTACTACTATTCCTTTGAGTTTGTAGAAGGCTTTACTAGAATGCAAAACGGTGCACCATCCAAACTCTTGGAACCAATCACAGCCATGAGACTCAAGCAGGGTGGGTCACACGCTTGAATTTTACAGTGGACACTGGCCTCCAGAGAGGAGACCGGGCCTAGGTCACCCAAGCAGGACTGGACACCCAGACATCATTTTTCCCTAACCCGCAGATTGTTCTTTGCTCATAGTCTGTGCGGGTTCGGTGCGCACTACCTGCACACTGCAAACCTGGTGGCGGAAGAAGCGAAGAGGCTGCTCTCGAAGTTGCATGCGTGTTGTGGGGGGAGCGCTTGCGTCGGGGCGGATGCGTGCATACTTGCCAAAGTTCTGACGCAGGGCAGCCGCTTTTAAACTGAGTGGGGAAAGCTTCTGATTTCCCCAGAAAAAGCTGAGGATAGAGCGCTTACTTACCTAGCATGCGAAGCTCTGGGTTCAATACCCAGGTTCGCAAAAGAAAAAAGAAAGAGCGCCTTCCCTACCCCCCCCAAAAAAAGAAAAAACGTGAAAACCAAGAGCCAGCTGGAGACCCCCAAAACGCTGAGGGTTCTGTCTGGGTAGGTGCACTCTTGCTTGATCACATCTGAGGGGGGTGCCTGACTGACCATGTAGTCCCTGGACCTTGCTGCGAGGCATCCGTCTCCCTACTTTTTGTCGCCCCAAAGGTGTCTCCCCTCCCAAGGGGCGCGCAGGTGCGCTGGTGTGTGTGTGTGTTGACCAGGGAGGCGGGCTTTCTTGCGTGTCAGCATCCCCAGCCATCTTTTGAGTTTGGGATACTGGGTTTGAGCAGCAAGATGCATAGAGTAGATCTTTCCTTTCCTCTTGGAGAAAGCTGGAATATCCGGCCCAGGGGGCGAACGCCGCCTCTGTTTTCTTGCATCCACGACTCCATTCAAAGTCAGGCAAACAGCGCCCTCTATGGGGCATCTTCTAAATCAAGCCTGCAGGCTGGGCTGGAGATACCGGTCTTGGTGCAAAGCATTTAAAAGACATTTCGGTCTTTGCTTGGCCCGTCCAGGTTAGAAAACAAAAACATTTTGTTTTGGTCTGGATTCTGGGAGGAGTAGAGACTGAAGTCGCCTGCAGGTCTCTGCTGGTTCTTACCTGACCGTCATTGGAAGTGGTTCCGCCTGCCTCTCACCCTTCTCCTGCTTTTTCTGCTCCCATTTTTAGGGACCATTCTGTGTTCCCCCTTGCAACCTGTTCTTTAACTGTCCAATCATACTTGTAGTCTGGATGCGAGTTTCAGTAAGGACGCCAGGCAAGGATTCGTCTCTCCAGGATTTAGCACACCGACTGCCAGCAAATGGGTGTTCAGTAACCACTGGTACTAATGCCTGAGTGAGGTGCATGGATGGATGATGGATGAATGATGGATGGGTGGCTGGATGGATTCACAGTTCCCACTGCATAGAATTGATCCACTTCTCAAGCTTAGATAGCTTGAGAATATCCAAAAACAGTTTTTAAAGAGTTTAATGAAAATCTGAGGTCTTTTGGTGAGACATTTTACAAAACGTAAAGAATCTCCAGGGATAGAACCAATGGAGAGTGTTTCACAGCTTGATCCAAGGCAAATGGGCTGCACATTACTTCCCTTTGAATGGAGAGGCCAAGAGAGCAGAGGGGGCCTGGTGAACACTAGTGAATAACAACCAACTTTTACACAAAGAATGAGAGACTTGGCAAAGGAGTTCTTAGAATAGTGCCCTCATCCCTCACACCCACCACACACATCAATAAGCAGGGAGTTCTCCAAGGGAGGGGTAATTTCCATGTTCTCCACTATTTCACCTAAAGAAGGCTGTTTTCCATCTTCTTGGAACAGATGCTGAGGCAATATAACTACTTACTCACAGAAGGGAGACCAAACTATTTAGGCTTTTAACCCAGCTGCAAAGAACCAGACTGGGATTCCTACAACTAATGTACCCAGAGTTTGCCCTGGTCCTAATGGTCACATTTTACCACCCAAATCTCTTGAAAGAAATCCTATCTTTGATTTGTAGGCAAAATGGACCAAAGCCTGGACCTGTGATTCTGGGAAAACTGCAGAGCTCTCACCCATCTTTCTCAGGCCACCAGGAATGCAGCCAGGGACCCCTCCCTTTGGCTAACGAATATGACTTGGAGAAATACACAACACTTGGAGATTAATCATAGGCATGCTACCCTTAATCACATATGAATCCTGAGTCACATAAAGCGTACTTACAGTGGCTGAAGGGCTAACCCTTTCCTGAGAGCAAGGCTATTTCAGTCATTGATTGAATGCCTCATTACCAGGCATGATGCCCAGATGAAGCAGATAGTATCATTCTTCATACTTGACAGATGAGGAAACCGAGACACAGAGAATACAACAGAGGGGAGCTGCAGTGAGTACTAAACACATTTAGTCTGGATATTGTAAGGGCAGTACAGGCATACTTTGAGTGTGATTTAAGTGTTGACTATTGTTGTTAACTTCCATTCATACACTCTTCAAGGTGAACTCAAAGGCCAAAAAATCTGTTCTTGCAGGGTTTTTCTAAGAAAACTAACATGCCCCTATGAGGACTCTGCTAGCACAAATCAAGCTAGCTGTCTTACCTATCTTCCCTGTTTTCTTATCTTCTTCAAGTCTTTTCCCCAGACTCAAGAGTCTTTCACTTATAATTATTTGCAGGTTTTTTTTTTCAATCTTCAAAAAATTTTTTTTTATGGTACAGGGTTTTGAACTCAGGACTTCAAGCTTGCAAAGCAGGCACTCTACCACTTGAACCATGTCTCCAGTCCATTTTTGCTCTGGTTATGTTGGAGATGGGGGGTCTCTCAATCTGTTTGCCTGGCTGGCCTTGCCCCTCGATCCTCTGATCTTAGCCTCCCAAGTAGCTAGTATTACAGGCGTGAGCCACCAGCACCGGGCTCTTCAGAGTTCTTATTAGGGGAAAAGAACGGCAAATGTTTGCATTTTGCACTATTAACTCACTGCTTAAAGCTTATGGATATTTTGTGGGCTCTGACTGATAATTTGCCGAAGCCTTTGAAGAGACCCTGTGTCTCCTCACCTGAAAAACCCTGGGATGCATCACAATGAACCCAACA